GGCAACCAATCAATGTTTCTCTCTCCCTCCCTCCCTTCCACTCTAAAAAAAAAAAAAATGGAAAAAATATCCTGGGGGAAGATTAACAACGTCAGAATGTGTGGGGTCCTGTTGGCTAAACTAAGGACTTTGGCTTTTTGAAGAGTGACTATCTAGGATGGTCACTCTATCATAGGTAGAAAGGTGCTGGAGAATTTGAGCACCTGGGTGTCACGATATGTCTTGTTTCAAGAGGGTCACTGGGGCTGCAGTGCTGGGAATACCTGAAGGGCAAAGGCGGGGACCCGAGGCCTCTACAGCCCTAACCTTGGCAAGGGATGGCGGCTCCGATAGAATTATGGGGTGGCAGTTGCATAGGAAAGGAGTTCAAGGCGAGGTCTGGGCTGGGGGTTAGTAGCTGGAACTGAAATGTTATCTAATCCTGGCGATGGAGTTCCGCTCTACCACTAACTTACTTGCGGTGAACTCGAGTAAACCACTTCTAGGTTCTGGGCCTGTTTCCCTACCAGCGAAATGGGGAAAATATTCCCACATAGCAGGGCCTTCTTGAGAGCGAAACGAGAGGTGTCAAAGGCTGACCGTGTGCAAAGTGAGACCCCTGCGCCGAGGACTGCACGAGCCCGTCCGAAAGGGAGGGAGCTGCTGCGAAACCGCCCACCAACTTCTAATACTGTAGCCGATCGGAGGTCCTGCGCAGCCAAAAGAACCGCCGGGGCGGGGACCGTAACGCCGTCTGCCGCTCCCAACCTCGCGAGATTTGTTAGCCCGGCAAAGTCACCCTCCCAGCCACATCTCGCGAGACCAAGGTTCATGAGCGGCTCTCCGCCGTTCAGGGCTTGCGGGGATGATGGAGTACCCCGCGCTCGGCACGGTGGAGGCCGCGGACAGCAGAGGGGCCCGGCCGTACAACAGCTTGGAGGAGCCGGAGGGCCGGGAACCGGATGGGCTGCGCTTCGATCGAGAGAGGGCATGTCGCCTGTGGGAGGCAGTGTCCGGGGCCCAACCCGTGGGGAGGGAGGAAGGTGAGTTGGGGGGAAGGGGAGGTCTCAGAGGAAGGGAGCCCCTTGCCCGCTGCTCGTTTCGCGCGGAGTGGCAGAAGCGCAGGGCCAGAGTGCAGACCGGCTCTCGGCTCTACGGTCACACCCCCTGGCTCCTGGCCCGCCCCCTTGCGTGACGCACCCCGGGACTCCCAGGCTCGTGCACCCCCTCGGGCCCGGGCACCTTGAGCCGGCTCCTGAAAATCAAGGCTCACGCGTGCAAATGGTCCAGGGCCTTCTCACGCTCAGGCCGCCCGAGTGTTTCTGCCCCGCCTCCCTCACCACCCAGAGCGCAGCTCTTCCCTGGCTCGTGGACTGTAATCCCTGTCCACGCCTTCCGGGAGACCCACAGAACCTTCTCCGTCAGGCTTGTAGCTCCCTCACCATTTCTCCCTGACTGTCCATCGTCCCAGTCTTCAGGGTCCCTTATCCCTAGTGTCTCTAGCCTCTTTTCTCTCATGCCCACACTTCCAAGGGCTCTAGAATGCCTTCTTCATACCCCCATGTTCCTCTTGGCCTTGGTGACGGAGCCTTGGTTTACCCGTTTGTAGTTGTCTGGTCTCTACCCTTTTCTGAGCTGGGGACCAGGAGCCTGAGAAACAAGCTTTCCAGCTTGTTATGCATTTTACCTGGCAGTGGATAAGATGGAGATAGAGATGGAAAGAGCTGGCCTGACCTGGTTGTGTCGCCCTCTTCACAGTCCTTAGCAGAGCTGCTTAACTCTACCCAAAGGTACACCAACTATCTGGGCTCTGGGCTAATCCTGTCAGGTAATCTGCAGGGCAATCAGATTTGGTATGTTTGCTTGTTGAGCAGACTAATCTTGGAAAGTTTAATGTTATCTGTGAACTGATTGTCCTGGGATAAAATCAAATTTTTGACCATATCCAAGGACTCTACATGTTTCAGTTTGGGGTGGTACACAGACCTATACCCTGGTGTATATATATACTTATCCAGTCTAAAAATTAGTTTTGTCTGATTCCTAAATTATTATGGACCCCCCACACACACACTCTCCTTCATACTTTCAAACTTGTTTGGTACAAATTTGCCACCCCTCCTTCCCAATTTTTCTTTCATTAATTTGACAAACATTCACTGGTACCTGCTCTATTCCCAAGACTGTTTGGGTATCAGAGATGAGGGTAATACTGTTCTTACCCTGAAGGAGCTTGTAGTTTGGTCCAGGAAGCAGACACCAAAGCAGCTTTATTGTAATGTAGTGGGTACAGTGAAGAGAAATGCCTAAGAGTGGGGGATTGCACAAAAAGAGGAAGTGACCTTTGTCCTCAGAGGACATAGAACACAGCAGCTAGGCTCTGAAAAGTGAACTGTCTCTTTATATGTGTATGAATGTACAGTGTCACTTACAGCCCAGTTTATTTACCCACTCTCCTCACTTCTGCAATATTTATATGAGGCTTAGGTAGATACCTATAACACCAAGTTCTACTCACATTGGTTTGTTGTTTTTCTTTTTGCACTGTCATTGAGTTGTAATTTACATGCCATAAAATTCACCCATTATAACTGTATAATTCAATGATCTTTAGTAAAAGTATAGAATTGGGTAGCCATAATATTTCCATCACTCCAGTTAATTCCTCTGTGCTCCTTTAATTTTTAATTTTATTTTTTTTAATTACAGTTTACGTTCAGTATTATTTTGTATTAGTTTTAGATGTACTGCATAGTGGTTAGACAATACCAAAGTATTCCCCCTGATATTTCCAGTAGCCACCTAACACCAGACATAATTATTACAATATTATTAACTATATTCCCTGTGCTGTACTTTACATCCCCATGACTCTTCTGTAATTGCATAGTGGTTAGACAATACCAAACTATTTCCCCTGATATTTCCAGTACCCACCTGGCACCATATGTAGATACTACAATATTATTAACTATATTCCCTATGCTGTACTTTACATCCCCATGACTATTCTGTAACTACCAGTCTGTACTTCTTAATCCCTTCACCTTTTTCACCCAGTCCCCAACCCCCTTCTCCTCTGTCAACCATCAGTCTGCTCTCTGTTTATGGGTCTGTTTCAGTTTTGTTTATTTATTTTCTTTAGAGTCTACATATAAGTGAAGTCATATGGTATTTATCTTTTCTCTGACTGACTTATTTCACTTAGCATAATACCCTCTAGGTCCATCATTGCTGTTGCAAAGGGTAAGATTTCATTCTTTTTTATGGCCAAGTAATATTCCATTGTATATATGTACCACTACTTTTTTGTCCACTTGTCTATTGATGGGCACTTGGGTTGATTCCATAGCTTGGCTATTGGAAATAATGCTGCAATGAATATATGGGTGCATATATTCTTTCAAATTAGTGATTTTGGTTTCCTTGGATATATAACCAGAAGTGGAATCACTGGGTCATAAGATGTTCCATTTTTTGAGGACCCTCTATACTGTTTTCCATAGTGGCTGCACCAATCTGCATTCCCACCAAAAGGGTTCCCTTTTCTCCACCTCCTCACTAACACTTGTTGTTTGTTAATTTATTGATTATAGCCTTCTGACAAGTGTGAGGTGATACCTCGTTGTGACTTTAATTTACATTTCTCTGATGATTAGTGACTTTGAGCATCTTTTCACATGTCTGTTGGCCATGTGAATATCCACTTTGAAGAAGTGTCTATTTAATTGGATATTTTAATTGGATTGTTTGGGGGGCAGTTTTTGCTGTTAAGTTGTATGAATTCTTTATAAATTTTGCATATTAACCCTTTTCAGATGTATCATTGAATATCTTCTTTCATTCAATAGGTTTTTTCATTTTGTTGATGGTTTTCTTTGCTGTGCAAAAACTTTTTAGTTTGGTGTAGTCCCATTTGTTTACTTTTTCTTTTGTTTCCCTTGCCTGAGGAGATGTATCAGGAAAAAATTATTTCTAAAAGAAACATCAGAGTTTTTACTGCCTATGTTTTTTTTCTTTTAGGAGTTTTATGGTTTCAAGTCTAACATTGAAGTCTTTAATCCATTTTGAGTTTATTCTGGTATATAGTGTAAGTAGGTGGTCTAGTCTTTTTTTTTTTTTTTGCATTTATTTGCTCAATTTTCTCAACACCATTTGCTGAATAGACTGTCTTTACCCCATTTTATGTTCTTGTCTCCTTTGTCAAATATTAATTGACCATATAGGTGTGGGTTTCTTTCTGGACTATTTTGTTCCATTGATCTAGGTCTGTTTCTATGCCAGCACCATGCTGTTTTAATTACTATAGCTTTGTAGTATAGTTTAATGTTAGGTAACATGATACCTCCAATCTTCTTCTTTCTCTGGATTGCACTGGCTATCCTGAATCTTTGACGGTTCCATATAAATTTTTGGATTATTTGTCCTAGTTCTGTGAAATACACCATTGGCATTTTAATAGGAATTGGGTTGAATCTATAGGTAGGTTGCTTTGGGTAGTATGGATTTTTTTTTTTTAATCCTCACCGGAGGATATTTTTTTCCATTGCTTTTTTTTTTTCTTCCCAGAGAGAGTGGAAGGGGGAGAGGGAGGGAGGGACAGCAAGGGAGAGAGAGAGAGACATCAATGTGAGAGAGACCCATTGACTGGTTGCCTCCTGGTTGCCTCCTGCTCGCCCACTGACTAGGGCCAGGGATTGAGCCTGCAACCGAGGTACATGCCCTGGGCTGGAATTGAACCCGGGACCCATCAGTCCGAGGGCCGGCACTTTAACCACTAAACCAAATGGGCTAAGCAGATTTAATCTTTTTAAATCATCAGTTTCCTTTTTAGGTTTAGAGGTTTAACTATATAATCTGTAAAGTGACTTCCTGACCTAAAATTCCAAGTACAAGTGTATTTAAAATGTTCAGTCGAAAGTACACACAAAATAGTATGCTCCCTTTTATTTAAGAATGTCTTTAGGATGTGCATATATTAAAAATGGGAAGACAAAAAACTAAAAAAGGAGACAAGTTGGCAAGAAACAGAGTGGANCAAATAGAACCCAGGACCCTTCAGTCTGCAGGCTGACACTCTAACCACTGACCCAAGCCGGCTAGGGCTAGTATGGATGTTTTAATGATGTTACTTCTTCCCATCCATGAGCATGGTTAATGCTCCCATTTATTTGTATGTTCTTCAGTTTCTTTCTTCAGTATCTTGTAATTTTTCTTTTTTCTTTTTTTTCTTCTTTTTTTTCTTGTAATTCTTCAAGTATAGGATTTTTACCTCATTGCTTAAATTTATTACTAGATATTTTATGTATTTATTTTTACAGTAGTGCTTCTCAAACTTCATTGTGCAAATAAACCACTCAGCCTCTAGCAGGAGGTGACTTCAGCAGAGTGGGAAGGATGAGCCACTGAGGAGTTCAAGGCCAGGCTCTTGGCACATACCAGGAAGTTCCTGCAGCTAGAGCACAAGGTGGAAAGGCCCCCAGACCAGTTCCAGGGAGTCAGTGCAGGAGGACCGTGGTAGGGAGCCAATTTCAATCTAAGTCCAGGGTCAGCATGGAGGGTGTAGACGAAAAAGAGGCTCTATGAAGTAACTCCAAAGGGTGATTTGATCATAAATTCTCAGCTAGGCAGGTTATGGTGGATAAACATGCACCAGGCATATAACTTCTTTAGTAAAAGTCTTATCTTTGCCTTAAGCAAACCCTGTTAATTGTTTCTGTGCATCTAAGTTAACACACCTTTGAAATGCCTCTTTTCAGACCCCTCCTTTTAATGTGTGACCACCCTTTTCAAACCAGACGCCCTCTAAAGCGAGATCACCCTCAAGAGAGCACACAATCTTAACTATCCTATAATCCTATCCGTGCCTTGCTTTCTCCCACTTTCATGTAATCTTCCTTAGGTTCTCTCCTTAATTCCAAATGCATAAAAGAAGTTGCAAACTGTCATTTTCTTGAAAAAATTTATTTATTTGTTGAAATCCTGCTTTCACATATATCTTCTATTTGACTCAAATTGATTTTTTTTTAAATTCTCCACAGAT